TGTAAATTTTCAAAATGATCTGGAACGTTCATTTGTGACTTCTCAAATTCTTCATTTAAAACACACGTAACTTCTTCCTACAAAATATTTATTCACTCATTAAAAAAAATTAATTTCATACATCAAATTAGCGTTTCTATATCATGGCCATACAGCGTTACACGCCTCTCTATCTCAAACCAGCGAGATCTCCAGCCGTTTCATCTTCTACCGCAACTGGCAGTTTCACTTTTCAGCTATTAATTTCCCCTCTTGTAGACATCATTGAGATAGGGTTTTACTTCCTTCCTTCCCCGCGGACAACGCCCAAGCCTTCGAGATTGCTTTCTCTGTTTCTTGTTTCGTCCTCAGAAGTTTTCTCTACTTCTTCTACCTGATCATGAAGCTGCAGTTATCTATATAAAATTGATGATTATCTCTCTTCATTTCTTTCTCTCTGTCTCTCAAATTCATGCTTCTGCCGTCTTCTTCTTTATCAGGAGAAAATGTAGAGTTACCATTTGGTTGATCTCTCTCTCTCTCTCTCTCTCTCTCTCTCTCTCTCTCTCTCTCTCTCTTCTTCTTCTTCTTCTTTGATGTTTGTCATTGATCAATTGAAAGAACCCTCAAATATTTCACTAATTTCGTAGCGGTTAGGAGGCGACTAAAGCTAAGATGATATATTGATCTTTCTTTTTGATCTGCTTGAGTTCAGACTTCAGAGCCGGAGAAACTATTTTGCTGGTAACTTTATCCTGCTTTTACGTATTGTAATTCCATGAGAAGATCTTTTCCTCCTTTTCTTTTAGTTTGGATTTAAACTCGATGAAAGTCTTTGTTGGGATTTTCCTGTGTTAAAAAGTGCCAAACCACTGCTTTCAATAGTTATATATAGTCGTTTTGGTTAGAACAATTTGAATTTCTGCTCTTCCATATCTTTTTTTGATTTCTTAAATCATCTGATTTCTTCTAACTTCTCAGCAATTTTTTATTTCTTTTCCAGTTTTTTTTTTTTTTTTTTTTTTTTTTTTTTTATTTTTTTTTTTTTTTTTTTTTTTTTTTTTTTGACATCTTATTTTATGATTTGTATGTTAGGCATTTGATTACTAACCATTAGAAATATTGGAATTAAAAAATAACCTTTTTTATCCTTGCAATTGCTTGAACGTATTTAGATTAAATTTAAATTGAATAAATCTCAAATTTATTTCATTTATTTTAAAATAAATATATTATATGATAAATTAATTAAAATTGTATAATTTTTCTCATTTTCAAATAAATTAACAGCTTCGCTAGTATTTTAAC